ATTGCTTACTGTTCAAAACTTGTACAAATACCACTGTATATCTGAGATATTTCGAATTATGAAATTTCGCACTCCATACTCGTTGTATTGTACTATAGACTCATCAAAACGTGATACAAGCAATGTCATAATCCTCCCAAGAAAAACCAACACTTTTCTTTATATAGCCTCCAAATTGTGGAATAGCATACATAAACGGATTCTAAATGAGAATGGGGAAATCCTCACTACTTCTGTATCTTTGGTTAAATTACGCTGTAAAAGTATCATCCTGGGATCTCAATCCATCAACAATAATAACACCTGGACTTACCACAACTTTCACATCGCCCCTCACTCAATCACAGACCAAACCATCTCATCACTCACTCACCAAATTGCCGACCCAATATCTATTGAAGTGGCGAAAATTTTCTAGACAAATGATATTTCGATATTATTGCTGCAGCAGATACAAATACCAACATTATTATATTCCCAAACGTTTGAACCTTTAAATTAACTAGGAAAGTCAATCCTCAACTTGACTTTTACTGTTTTAAACAGATATATATTAACTTAATTTATTATTACTAGCAGGAACCCGTATAATATAACCCTAAACGGTGTCAAGACTCAAAATACTAAAATAATTATTACCTATTTAATCGGCGTTTTTGACACCACTTGGGGGCCCAAATTTTCGGCTCTAAAATCATTATTCCTTGGCCAATTTTTTATTTTTTCATGCCGATTTGAAGGCCATTAAAGCATTTGACCCAGCCAAAAAAGTTCCAGTTGTATATCTTTTACGGTTTTTGCGGAAAGTCGCGTTAAAGTTGATGCCGTGGTGTCAGTAAAATGGCACAGATATATATATATATATCGTCTCGCTTTATATATAGTAAGATTATTTTTTTTTTACATACTCCTTCTTAGTGTGGTGACTTGGGGTCCATAAATATAACAATACAAGCTGATAAACCAAAAAGAACAACTGGGGTAGGTAGGTAGCCCTGGTGGGTGCGTAAACTTTACGGTCTGCTCTCTCCAAGATCAGCCTGCTTCTCCATTTTACCGTGAAGCCTAATTTCTAGTTTTTATAAAATATACAATGCAAGTGCAGGTTTACTAATCTTAATCTACGTAACAACTCAATAGCCCAAGTCACCTTTTAGGTTTACAACCTACCAAAACGCGCGCCGAGTTGGACTCGTCGACGGTCAATATATGGAACAGATATTTTACGAGTATCACCCGTTAAAAGTCACCATACCCGTAGTATATTCCATGGTAATAGAAGAGCTTTAAAGTTTTTCAAATTGTTGCTATAATTGATTTAAATAAAAATTTGTTGTTTTCTTGTTTTCTTGAAGGCCCTGCTGACCCCGCTGTGCAGGGGGGCGCCGTCTTAGGGGGGCGCCAAATCGTCGTTTGAATGTGGGACAATTTCGAAAACTTAACTAAAGTACTAGCAAAACTGCACGTTTTGCTCTAGATACACACTTTTTTAGAGATTTTACCGGCGTATTCTTTAAAATCACCTAATTTGTTCAATTTTATGGAGGGGCACCAAAAGGGGAGGGGGCGCCAACAGGGGGGCGCTTTTTTTGGCAGGGGGGCGCCAACAGGCAACGTTACGCCACTGGCGCTACTGGGCCTCCCCGAGCTGCGATGAATTGACATTGTCAATTAACACCGATACAATATAGTGTGTAATATATAATGTGCAACTGTTATTCGTTTTGAAATTTCCTGCCAGCCAGTCTGAGGTGACTTGCAGTCTGTCCTCATGATACTCTGGCAACCTTTGCGGGAAATTATCGGTTACCTGTGTCCTTTTGGGAGAAAAAATTCCCAGAAAATGAGTAACATCCGTCAAAACTTTAGATATAGGTCAATAATGGAAATAATAATGGGATCATCCGTGAATAAATTCGTAACAAATGATTTTCTACATACAGGAATGTGCTGTCCATAATTCCAGGAATCACTCTACACTCGACTGTCACGTAATTTTTAAACATGTTCTCTAGCTGGTCCTGAATGACTATTCGAAATCCTAACCCACTTATCCATGATCCCAACCCTAAAACCCCATCTTTAACAAAAGCATTATATGCTGAAAACCTAACCCTAACGAGAAATTAGATCAACTTCCTTATACTGTAATATCGAGACAGTTTTTCGTCAATATCTCGCCAGGGAAGTATTTTAATCATGTGTCATGGGGGTGATTCAGAATCAGCGTCCGAAAATACATCGATTCAAGCTGGTCTCTGCAACTGTCGGGGGCTCTTTTAGAAAAATATTGAAGATAGACTGTAAAGTGATTTAGCTCGGAAAGTTTTGGGGAATTTTATAATCCAATTTTTTCAGGCGTCAACAGTCTAAAATATAAATGGTTGCAATTAATATTACTCGAAAATATAAGCATGAACATGATCCAAAAGTGTTAATAGATTATATTGCATGCCATTGTTACGTTCATTATTCTGGATTTATTTGTTATTGTTGTTGACGAATTATTATACTCGTCTAAATTTCTTCAAAGTAGCGCGCGGCGCTTTTTCCTCGAAACTGAACCTGCCTGAAGCTAGAGGCAAGTAGTCCTTGGAGGACTTCGCCGCTTCGACGCACCTTAATTGACGATGTCAATTCTTGGCAGCTCGGCGCGGCACAGTAGCGCATCGCGCTACAACGACGCACCGTGCAAACTATTATTTTTACTTCGCATCGTTGCAAAGCAACGATTTGGAAGGGTTGACATCGTCAATCAAGGTTAGTCCATTAAAAATGGACAAAAATTGTTTATAAATAATTTTAATTAGCTCGGTCAGATGCACAACTATTGAAACTGAAATTAAAATTTTTGAGAGATTTAATTTGTAATTGTTTCAAAAATTTTGAATTTGCAAAATTCAGCATTTAAGTTTTTTAAAGTTTTAAATATTAAAATAAAACCGTAAATTTTGAGTTTAAATAATATGACCACAAACCTATAAAAATTGTATCAAAATAACTAAAACTGTAAAATTTATATCAATATAAACCGGAAAAAGCGCGCGGCGAGCATGGAGCAAGCGCCTGCGTTTTGTCATACGTTGTATGACCCGCCGCGCACGAAGTGCGCGGCTCCCCCCTGTAGCGTCGAAGACGCTACTATAGTGAAGCTACTATAGTGAAGCGACAGTGGGGGTCACCACGTGATACAACCTACGTTAAGAAAACAACAATTTCAAGAAAAAAACAACAAATTTATTTAGTATCAATTAAAGCAGAAAAATATATTTTATATATATTATAGCTAGCACGAACTTTATACCAAATATCTTAAAAGACTTGGAGTAGCATTGTCACACTTTGTATTACCCGCTGCGCACGTGTGCGCGGCTCCCCTATATCGTAGAAATGCTACAGGGGGTCACGATGTGATACAAATTAGCAAAAGAGTGACTAGAATGTATATACCTTTTACAAAATATGTCGAAAAAATCCAGGGTGACACAGGATCGGAGAGTGCAAACCGAAATGTTTATGCATCCACCTTTTCCTCCTGAATTCTTGGTTGAATAGACAATTATGCGTTGCAAACTTGATCGTTTTTATTCCAAGTCCATTTGTTTAAAGAAGTAGTATTATTTATGTATGGACATGGAGTTAGCTTCATTCAATTATAACAATATCAATATAATCAATATCAATATCAGACTAAACAATCGCCCAAAATCAATCTGAGAATTTTTTAGTCTATAGTACAATCATGATAGTAATAGTAAGTGTGTGCTGCTGCAATTAGATTAGATTACTGCCATTTAAAATTGTTTGGAGTTCAAGTATCTTTTAAGTCAGCAGCTTGTGGTTGTATTAAACAGCATTTTTAGCAAACAGTACTCTGTTTGCTAAAAATTTAACCTACCAAGACGCGTGCTGAATTGGACTCGTTGATGGTTGTCTATTTGGAACAAATATTTTACAAGGGATAAAAAGCGGTAGTAAAGTTAAGATATCAGATTTAGATATCAATTTAGAGCCAACAAATTGAATTGGCTACTTTTACTACTACAACAAAGTGTTTTTATGAAATTTTCTTAGATTTTTATTGAATTTCTATATATAGAAATTTTATATAGGGTTATTGCTATATTAGATGTTATTAGAAAAGACTTGACTAGTAGAAATCTTGATATTAGACTTAAGAATTTGACTGATTTCGAAGACCTTAGATTTTTGGCTTTAGATAGGGAGGAATGGAAGAAGTTAGAAGATGGTTGATGTTTTTGTTTTCTTTTTTATGCGTTTTGATATCTATAAGGTGCCTAGGATGCTCTTTTAAAGAGATATTTCGTACTTTGAAAGATTTACTACTACTACTACTATTGCTATATTATGTGTATATTGTTTGAATAATTTCAAGATATTTTACAAGTATCACAGGTCTAACAGTGCTGCATGATGGTATTATTTTGTTCACATTTTTAGACAACTTTTGATTTCAAATTTATCAAGATCAGAGATTGAGGGTGTCTAACTTTATAGCTAGACAATTACTATTGTTGAAATTACCTGTTTATATTGTTTTAACAATTTAATTATCAAAAAGTTATTTAACATAAAAATACCGACAAAGATAACAATATGATATTTGATACACCTCCAAGGCCCAAGCATCACCCATGCAGGTGGCCGTGGTATCATCTGTATATAGTAGTCTATGAGGCTAATATTCAGCATATTGATTGCCATCATGTCTCAACTCTTCACAGGAGGACTAGTGCAAAGAAACTGCTGCTAACTGCTGCTAACTGCTGCTATGGGCAGGCGCGGGACAGCAGCAGTTAGCAGCAATTAACAGCAGTTAGCAGCAGTTTCTTTGCACTATAGTCCTCCTGTGTCTTAGCTATCCATCACAATAGGAATTATACAGCCTTCTTTGGTTACTTCAGTGGACATCATTATGATTTCTAAAATCACCAATTAATTCATTATATATTAACGGAATGTTACTGTGTTGCAGGATGCGCCCTAGAAGAACAATATTTTTGTTATGAATTCAATGCGAATCAAGTCATCAGCTGTGTTAACAGCTTACATTAAGCATCGTCGATATCCAGCTTGAACTGATTTTATATTATACGGAGATATTGTCAACGACCAGTTTGGACTGTCACACTTTAACTGGGAAGTTGATGACGTAAACTACCACATTCTCAGGACTGGGTGCTATCCTTTTGTTAAGTACCATTGCACTAAAGCACCTCACACAGATTTAGCAACTGAAAATTTGTTTTATGGTGTCCTTAAAGCAGTCAATTTGGGCATACCTCTTGTAATAGTATGGATTGGCTGGGATGATGTTAGCTAAACACAAAGAAAATATTGTCATCAAAGGAAATAATATTGAGCTAAGGTTCTGGTACAAGGAGACTTGGTGAAACACTTCTATTCAACCTTGATTATTTATGCTTTAATTGATTTTCTATTTTTTCTATGAGATAATGCATTTCATCTTCAGATTAATGTCTGGTCATTCAGTTAGTAAAGGCAGAGATGGCCGAAAAGTCATTGTATTCTCAAATAAGATTTAAGTCACAATGTTTATAAACTCTTCTGCAACTAAATCTCATCATTTGTGAAAAATGGGTTATTTCACCCTTATCAGATCTTATAGAACAAACTGGTTTGACCTTGTCAGAAATCAAAATGATTCAAGCAAAAGCCTCAGGAAAACTTTGTCCTAGGATTTTTCAAGTCACCCCATCCATGAAAGAAGGGTTTGACTGGTCATTTGGATGTAGAAACCTTGATGTACCTTTTGGATGCCTATTGAAAGAGGGTAAAGTGTTGGAAATATGGGGAGCTTCTGGAAGCGGTAAAACTCAATTGTCACTTCAAATGTGTTCTGCAATTCCCCCAGAATATTGCTCTGCTTATATCAGTACTGAAGGTAGTATATCAACATCTAGACTCTTTGATATCTGTAGTGCAAGGGGTATGACTAGTGCTAACTGTGATATGCTGACATGCACCACTGTTGATAGCTTCTCTGATTGTGTTCTTAGGCAACTCCCCCTTCTTTTGGCTACTAAGCCTGTGAAATTAATTGTAATTGATTCCATTGCAGCTCCGTTTAGGGCCGGAGAAATTGAAGGAGGTGGAGTGAGAAGGGCCCAAAAAATTCGTTCCATTGGTCAGCAGCTAAAATACCTTTCCTCTAAATACAAATTACTGGTAGTGATACTGAATCAAGCAACTGACCATCCCATCAAGGGCACACAACCAGCATTAGGTATGACTTGGTCTTACTTGATTAATAGTCGTCTTAGAATAGAGAAGCTGGGATACGATAATATGATTGGTGCTCGGAGGGTTAGTGCTGACAAAGGCTCATGTGTAAAATCAGGAACTTTTGTCGACTGTACAATTCAAAAAGAAGGCTTGTTATAGAACTTGAATATTTGGCTGGGTTTTTTTAATGGGTTGCAGTCTCTCACTGCAGTCTTTTCTTTTCTTGAAAAAAATTGTCTTTTTTTGCATATTAATTTATTAACATTTTATAAATATAAATCACTATCACGTACAAAATATTTCTTTTCTATTCGAATTATGAAGTATTTAAACAATTTAACTTAGTTTTGTGTTTTGATGGAATTTACAATATTTAAAATTACTCTTTGTAGTGTTACTGGAATGGCTTTTCATTGTTTCGTGATAACATTTTTACCAGCCTGTTAGTTAATCAATTTATTGACCTATTAAAGTCTAGGCTGTCACCTATTTTTCATGAATCAATCCATCTCAATTATGGAACCAGATTTACAAGGCTTTGAGGACACTCAAAAAATGTTCTGGGACGTTATTTACAAAGTTTGTATCCATTTTTATTCATACCTTCTTTAAATGTAGAATGCTAGCTATTTGTATCATACAGTAGCATCACAGATTATATTTTTTAAATATTCAAAAATCAAACCTTGACTAAATTTTCATCTTTAATGTAATTATCTTAACTAATTTATTTTAATAAATAACAATTTCAGACTGACTGGACAGAGTGGTGGCTGGTGTCTGTGCAGACGTTCCATGTACTGATGTTCTGCCTTGTTGTTATCTCACATCGTGCTAACTGGAACCTTATCTCTGCAATTACATTCCTTTTCCTGCTTACTCTAATGTACTTTGCTCAGACGCTGAACACAATTGCAGCTCAGAACTATGATCAGTTTACCAATGAACAATACTTTGACAGTGATGGACTTTTTATTACTCTTGTGTTGCTTCTACCGTGTGCTCTGAATTGCATCCTTTTTATTGTAAGTATTGTTAAAACTTGTAAAAAAGATTATCATTTCAGCTCTTTTAGAGTGAAAATATATTAAAATTTATAATTAATTAATCTTACCAAACAACTCTATACAAAATTATTGCTCTACAAAATAAATATTTCAGTTCTCTTGGTTGTTGCAGTCCTGGACTCTTATGGTCGATCTAAAGACCCAACAAGCAAAGAGATATGTAGCGTCACAGAAGAAGGACAAATAGCCACATCAAATATTATTAAATTAATTTATCATCAGAAGATCTAATTATGCATGGTTGGTTTTACATTGCTTGACAAAATAACTTGAGAATATTACCTGAGCATGTTAATATTTTTAATTTTCGGACAGGAATTTATTGATTTTTTCGAGCCTAAGCTTTATTCGGGACACCGTGACATGAACAGTTCAAATAGCTATTTTTGAAATCTTCAGATTTTTTCATTCAGAACTTTTATGGTTCTCGATTAAATCTATCATGAGGGGGTTTTATTTTGGCATTGTATTTTTCAATTGGCATTGTATTTTTCAATTGAATAATTATGTGAATGTTATTGAAAATGTATCTATTCAGTGCTCTTGATGATTCTATTCATAATCACTGCACACAAACAAACGTGAAACTCTATTCGACCAACTGTTCTACCGACTATTCGAACGGTGCATTTCTACGAATACACATAAATATATTTATAAAATATAAATGCATACAAAATTTTATAATTCAATTGTAATTAACAATAAAAATATCAGCAAAACCAGATTTAATGGAATGATTCATTCATGATCCATTCATGGATTAATTCTATTACTTCGTGATATCTCAACATTTAATAACACTATTTTTTCTAGATGTTATTAATCCTATTACACACATTTCTTCATCATGCTGTGGCTGACACAAATGTTGCTTCTAAGATCAACACCTTCGGATTGAAACTCCTGCAACACGTCCCACCTGATGAAAACATAATGATATCCCCGTTTTCTATTTGCACTGCAGTCGCTATGCTCAATGTTGGTACTTCTGGTGAAACTAGGAAACAGATTGACTCTGCTTTTGGCTGGTCTGATTCTACAGATTTATCAGGTCAATACAAGGACTTTCTTACTAAAGTTGAGGGATCTGAAAGTGACAAGTTTACCCTTTCATCTAACAACCGTCTGTACATCGACAACACATTCATCCCTCTGCAAAGTTATTCTAATGAGCTTACTACTAACTTTGGTGCTGAGGTTGAAGCTGTTAACTTCAGTAATGGTGATAATTCAGCAACTGTTGAACATATAAACACATGGGTTGAAGAAAAAACGAATGATAAAATCAAGAAACTTTTCTCTGATATCGACAGTAAAGTCCGAGCTATCTTGATAAACACCATCTACTTCAAGGCAACATGGGTAAACCCATTCAACCAAGTCATAACTCAGGATGCATTCTACCTTGATGAAGAATATGCAATAAAAACAGATACTATGCATCTGGAAGAGAGGCTGCCATATTTTGAAAACAAGGACATTGAACTTGTTAAACTGCCTTACGCTAGTGAAGGATCACAGAGAGTGAGTATGGTGATCATCAAACCCAAAACGCGAGCAGGTCTAAGTAGTCTTGAAAAGAAGATTGGGTACCAGTTCTCTGAGGTTTCTTCTTGGGTGAGCAGTGTTGAGTACATATTGTTGGATTTCTCAATGCCAAAATTCCAATTTGAATCTGGAGTTGACAAGCTGAAAGAAATTCTCATGGAAGATTTTCAGGTTTTAGATGTGTTTGATGAAAATAAAGCTGATCTTTCTGGAGTTAGCTCTACTGAAGATCTATTTGTTTCCTTCATCAAACACAAGTCCTTCATATCAGTGAATGAAAATGGTACTGAAGCTGCTGCTGCCACAGCTATTGGTATGAGTGCTGAGTCAGTCGAGATGGATAAACCTCGTGAAGTGCAGGTGAACCAGCCGTTTATGTTTTTGATCTACGACGAAAGTAACGAGGTTGTTCTGTTTGTTGGTCGGATGGTACATCCTGACTCTGAGAAGGATTCTGACAAGTACCTTGAAAGTAGGTACATTAGTTCGGGTAGTTCTACTAGCGCCAAGTTTGCTGGCCAGAGCTTACTGATCTGTATTATTGTGGCGATGGTATTGCAATAAATAAATGAACGTGTTTGGATATTTATAAATTCAGTTTTTTTTTTTTATTAAAAAAAAAAACAAATATTTATTTTTACGGAACAATCAAGCAATATCAATAATAAATAAATCAGGGGAGGTTTGAAGAGGTTTCAAGTGCCGAAGGCCACTGCTTATCTTTAGGATTTGAGAGTGACCTGTGCTTGAAACCCCCTCAACCATCCACTACGTCAATATACTTATTATACAAATATAGAAAAATATAATAATCTAAAATTACTTATTGGTTTAGTTTGGTGACACAGAAGAGCCCAGTTGAGTTTTAGTTTAGGTTTAGGTTTAAATCATAGTTTAAAAGGTTAGCCATGTTTCATGGCAGAGAGAGATATCATGTGTGCAGAGTTACAGTTGGTACCTACTATACAAATATTAAATTCAATGCTTAAGTTATTTAAGCAATAAATGTTCTAAAGGTTTAGAATCATTAGTTAGATACACGGCAACCGTGGGTATTTTTATTCTTAATTTACCATATAGTTAGTATTTTTTAGTTAATTTTCAGTGTAGAATACAAGGATAGTTGGAAGTCTTGTATTCATTATTAGTATTCAAATTGTACATCCAATTTATAGTTCTAATAACCACAGAGATTTCAAAACTATGTAGAGGCTTTTGGGCAATTTAGTCTTAGTGAAGCACATTCTTGTATTATTTGACAACAGAAGAGTGCAATTAAAATTGTTGTTACATAATACATATTATAATGCTAATTGAAAACATGTGTCTCGTTCTATGAAAAGCACATATAGACCATAACATTATCTATTCAGCAGGATAATTTAATTGGCGAGTTTCTTCTTCTGACAGAGTGCTGTTATAAACAAACTTAGAAGTATGTTAACAAATTAGCCTACTTGAAGATAAAATTCATTTGATGTAACGTTATTATAGAATAGCGCATTACATAATATTAGAATTAGAATTCGAATTAGAATCAAATTTACACAGCAATACAATAAGAATAAAAAATAATTTAAGAAGCTTCAATCTGCTGTGCAGGACATTCAAGTCAGTCGAAAACTGTTAGCAGAACACTCTTCTAGGGACATAAGGATATAGCATGTAAAACATAATAAGTAATAAATTAATGAGTGATAAAATAAGATATGATTTAACAGTGAACTGTGGGCATGAAGGTAACAATTAATGTTGAAAATTACATAGATGCCCACTTTGGAATTTCGTTAGTAATATTATTTACAGTTATACACAGAGAAGTATAGAACAATAATAGAATGGCAATGATAACAAATGGGAACGAATAAAGGAGATGTTTAAAGTTCTATACTTCTGAAAATAGGTCATATAATGCAGGGGGCCTTTCCACCCGACAAAAACTCCAGCACCTTAAAAATTGTTTCAGTTGTCACATAGCTAGAGTGTAGAAATAGTCGAAACTATTGTTTATTTCATAGGATGAGACTCCTTGAATTACATCTGACATAAATTTAGATTTCATATATAGTGTGAATTTTACACTACATTCAATAGTCCTTATGTTCTCTGGAATTGTATTCCAACATTTTGCACCTAAATATGTAAAGGTTTTGTGTGCTCTGGATTTGTGAATATAAAGGTTGCACCTCTCAGCATCACGTGATCCTCTGGATACATAAGAAAATTTACCGGTGAATGATGATGGTGCAGCCTCATTAAGAATTTTATACATATACGTTGATAGATGGAGTTGTCGTCTTAAGTGTAAGGGTAACCACTTCATATTTCGATATACATTTACTGATGGTTCCTGCCAATGAACATCCAGAGCAATTTTTGCTACTTTCTTGTATAATATATCAAGAGAATTAAGTTTGGTTTTGGCAGCCCTACACCATATTAAATCTAGGTAGTCAAATTAGGGGAGCATAAGAGCATTTACAAACATTTTTCTATATTTCAGTGGAAGAAGATTTTTCGACCTGTAGCTGTATAATGCCCCTATTCTTTTAGCAATTTTTGATTTCACATAATCAATATATGGTCTTGAAAGTTCAATAAATTGTCTATCATGAGACCTAAATATTTTTGAGATTTAGTTTCTTTCATAAAAAGGCATTCTTTTTCCAAATCCAGAGGGATTGACAACGTTTCCAGATTAGTATTATATTATGATTAATATTATATTATGATTAATGTACAGCTGGCACCGACTACTATGTTGTTGTTGTTGTTGTAATTTAATCGTGTGATAGCACTTTTATTCCTATCGCTGACTTATTGTGTTATTTATTGATCCCACTTGTCTATTCTTGAGTTTTAACAAAATATACTCTATAGTCTAGATGTTGTTGATCCTATTACACGCAATTCTTCATCATGCTGTGGCTGACACAAATGTTGCTTCTGAGATCAACACCTTCGGATTGAAACTCCTGCAACACGTCCCACCTGATGAAAACATAATGATATCCCCGTTTTCTATTTGCACTGCAGTCGCTATGCTCAATGTTGGTACTTCTGGTGAAACTAAGAAACAGATTGACTCTGCTTTTGGCTGGTCTGATTCTACAGATTTATCAGGTCAATACAAGGACTTTCTGACTAAAGTTGAAGGATCTGAAAAAGACAAGTTTACCCTTTCATCGAATAACCGTCTGTACATCGACAACACATTCACCCCTCTGCAAAGTTATTCTAATGAGCTTACTACTAACTTTGGTGCTGAGGTTGAAGCTGTTAACTTCAGTAATGGTGATAATTCAGCAACTGTTGAACAAATAAACACATGGGTTGAAGAAAAAACGAATGATAAAATCAAGAAACTTTTCTCTAATATCGGCAGTAATGTCCGAGCTATCTTGATAAACACCATCTACTTCAAGGCAGCATGGGTAGACCCATTCAACGACGTCATAACTCAGGATGCATTCTACCTTGATGAAGAATATGCAATAAAAACAGATACTATGCATCTGGAAGAGAGTCTGCCATATTTTGAAAACAATGACATTGAACTTGTTAAACTGCCTTACGCTAGTGAAGGATCACAGAGAGTGAGTATGGTGATAATCAAACCCAAAACGCGAGCAGGTCTAAGTAGTCTTGAAAAGAAGATTGGGTACCAGTTCTCTGAGGTTTCTTCTTGGGTGAGCAGTGTTGAGTACGCATTGTTAGATCTCTCAATGCCAAAATTCCAATTTGAATCTGGAGTTGACAAGCTGAAAGAAATTCTCATTGAAGATTTTCAGGTTTTAGATGTGTTTGATGAAAATAAAGCTGATCTTTCTGGAGTTAGCTCTACTGAAGATTTATTTGTTTCTTTCATTACTCACAAGTCCTTCATATCAGTGAATGAAAATGGTACTGAAGCTGCTGCTGCTACAGCTATTGGTATGAGTGCAACATCCGTAGAAATAAAACCCATACCACGCGAAGTGCTGGTGAACCAGCCGTTTATGTTTTTGATCTACGACGAAAGTAACGAGGTTGTTCTGTTTGTTGGTCGGATGGTACATCCTGACTCTGAGAAGGATTCTGACAAGTATCTTGAAAGTAGGTACATTAGTTCGGGTAGTTCTAGTAGCGCCAAGTTTGCTGGCCAGAGCTTGCTGATCTGTGTTGTGGCGATAGTATTGCAATAAATAAATGAACATGTTTAGATATTTATAAATTCAGTTATAGTTGGTACTTACTTAACAAATATTAAATTCAATGCTTAAGTTAATTAAGTAATACATTTTCTAAAGGTTTAGAATCATTAGTCAGATACACGGTAACCGTGAGTATTTTTATTCTTAATTTACCATATAATTAGTATTTTTTAGTTAATTTTCAGTGTATAATACAAGGATATAATAGTTGGAAGTTTTGTATTAATTATTAATATTCAAATTGTACATCCAATTTATAGTTTAATAACCACAGAAATTTCAAAACTATTTAGAGGCTTTTGGGCAATTTAGTCTTAGTTAAGAACCTTCTTGTATTATTTGACAATAGAAGAGTGCAAAATGATTGTGACAATTATTTTGATCCATAATGTTTACTATGTCATCATGATTAGAAATGAACTATCTTATGTACTGTATTTTATATTTTGTAAATAATGGTAGATTTGGCAATTAAAATTGTTGTTACGTAATACATATTATAATGCTAACTGAAAACATGTGTCTTGTTCTATGAAAAGCACCGCTAGATCATAATATTATCTATTCAGCAGGATAATTTAATTGGTGAGTTTCTTCTTCCGACAGAGTGCTGTTATAAACAAACTTTGAAGTATGTTAACAAATTAGCTTACTTGAAAATAAAATTCATTTGATGTAACGTTATTATAGAATATTGCATTACATAATTATATTATATTAAGATTAATGTACATTTGGCACCGACTACTATGTTATCTGTTCCTGTTTGAAAATTTGTAAAAATATGATTTCATTTAGGTATATGTTTTTTTTTAGGTATATGTTTTTCTCAAACTGGAAGGCTCTCCTTCTGTCGAAGGTATCGATTTAGATACACTAATCGCGTGGTAGCACTTTTTATTTGTATCACTGACTTATTGTGTTATTCATTGATCCCACTTGTCTATTCTTGAGTTTTAACAAAATATACTCTATAGTCTAGATGTTGTTGATCCTATTACACACACTTCTTCATCATACTGTGGCTGACACGCATGTTGCTTCTGAGATCAACACCTTCGGATTGAAACTCCTGCAACACGTCCCACCTGATGAAAACATAATGATATCCCCGTTTTCTATTTGCACTGCAGTCGCTATGCTCAATGCTGGTACTTCTGGTGAAACTAAGAAACAGATTGACTCTGCTTTTGGCTGGTCTGATTCTACAGATTTATCAGGTCAATACAAGGACTTTCTTACTAAAGTTGAGGGATCTGAAAAAGACAAGTTTACCCTTTCATCGAACAACCGTCTGTACATCGACAACACATTCACCCCTCTGCAAAGTTATTCTAATGAGCTTACTACTAACTTTGGTGCTGAGGTTGAAGCTGTTAACTTCAGTAATGGCGATAATTCAGCAACTGTTGAACAAATAAACACATGGGTTGAAGAAAAAACGAATGAGAAAATCCAGAAACTTTTCTCTGATATCGACGGCGGAGTCCGAGCTATCTTGATAAACACCATCTACTTCAAGGCAGCATGGGTAGACCCATTTAACGAAGTCATAACTCAGGATGCATTCTACCTTGATGAAGAATATGCAATAAAAACAGATACTATGCATCTGGAAGAGAGTCTGCCATATTTTGAAAACAATGACATTGAACTTGTTAAACTGCCTTACGCTAGTGAAGGATCACAGAGAGTGAGTATGGTGATAATCAAACCCAAAACGCGAGCAGGTCTAAGTAGTCTTGAAAAGAAGATTGGGTACCAGTTCTCTGAGGTTTCTTCTTGGATGAGCAGTGTTGAGTACATATTGTTGGATCTCTCAATGCCAAAATTCCAATTTGAATCTGGAGTTGACAAGCTGAAAGAAATTCTCATTGAAGATTTTCAGGTCTTAGATGTGTTTGATGAAAATAAAGCTGATCTTTCTGGAGTAAGCTCTACTGAAGATCTATTTGTTTCCTTCATCAAACACAAGTCCTTTATATCAGTGAATGAAAATGGTACTGAAGCTGCTGCTGCCACAGCTATTGGTATAAGTCTAACATCCGTAGAAATAAAACCAATACCACGTGAAGTGCTGGTGAACCAGCCGTTTATGTTTTTGATCTACGACGAAAGTAACGAGGTTGTTCTGTTTGTTGGTCGGATGGTACATCCTGACTCTGAGAAAGATTCTGACAAGTATCTTGAAAGTAGGTACATTAGTTCGGGTAGTTCTAGTAGCGCCAAGTTTGCTGGCCAGAGCTTACTGCTCTGTATTATTGTGGCGATGGTATGGATTGCATAATATGCTGTAATCCAGATTATTGTATATATTTCCTTTCAGTTTAGCTTTAGATTTAGAGCAAATTTACGACCTTTGAAGATTCTAAGCTTTAAAGCCGTCGGATTCAGAATTTTTTAGATTTTGTGTTTATTTATTTGTGTATATATTAGTGAACAATTTAGATATATTTCTATTGAGAATTCGTTTGATTGACTTGATTTCGACCAAAAATATAATAATTTAACCCAATTTTAATCTCAAAGCTTGTAAATGTACGTCATTTAATGATATAGGTCACGGTAACAATTCCATATAAACTTTATGCCGTTTTTGGACTTTACTCTACAAGTCACAAGAAAACATATTCATCATGGCTATTAAGAAAATTGTTCAAGGTACACATAATATATCACAAACACGAAAATCAAGTCGCACTGGTGTTTATATAGTTCTTCCTTTTTTAAGTTATCTAAATGGCTGAAACTTTGGGGTATATTGCTTGAGAGGCAACTCCGCACATGTTCTGCTTGTTTCTGGCCAGTCTGAAGTACCCACCCATCCCCCATTTGTCACCCCAGCTGTTCCTTACAATCCAGTAATCCTGGCCCTTCTCAGAGCCATATCCGACCACCACCACTGCGTGATCAATCCTGGAGGTGATGCAGAAGGGATCTGAGTAAATTCCACTGGAGTAGAACTGAAGGGAGCGTTCTCCTGCATCTATCCCCACACTTATCGGTCCAACGATTCCAACTGCAGCTTTCAGGTCCTTCTCACTGTACTTCTTAATGTTAACAAAGCTGTCCACGTGAGCCACAGCCTTGCTGTAGTCAGCCTGGCATGTTCCTTGTGACTGACTGTAGCTAGGGTAGTCAGCTGCTGGTTCTAATCCTGCAGTGTCTTTAAGGTAGTTGAAGACATTCTCCGGAGTTCCCCCGTCACAGCCGTAGTTAGCCCACTGTCCACTACAATCCACCACCTGCTGCACTGACAGTGGTTGGTATTTCCCAGTGATAATTGCCAGCATGCTCTCTACAACAGAGACCGCAGAGAAAGCGTAGCAGGACCCACAGTTTCCTTGACTCACCACCGGACCCACCACCTTACCTCCCTTTCTCCAGTCCTTACTTGCGGGTGCCTGCTGACCTAGCGGAGCTGTGAACTCTTCCACATCTTCAGGACTGCTTCCGGGCATGGTCGCTGGCATGTTCGTCTTCATTGCTTTGAACTCCTCGTTTGTTAGATCTCCAAACTGATTCATCTTCAGTTCAACTCCAGGATGTTTCTTGTTGTATTCCTGAATGAACTTCATGTTGTCCTCCCAAATAGCCTGTCTCAGTCCTACCTCTCGGGGACCATGCTGGTACGGACACACTGTTCAGTGCTTCCCAATCCTGGAACGAACTTGTTGCTGCTCCGCTAATAAGGAGGATGAGAAAATAGCCGGTGACCATCATAATATCCTGTTGGATAATGTTAGGTTAAAAGTCGTACAATTTTTATTTGGTCGATTTGTACAATTGTCAATTATACACTGACAGTACACATCCAGGACTTGGAGGTCTCAGAAACAGTGTCAATATTTGAAATATAATATACAAAGTTTAAACAGTATCAAAAGAACACGAATAGAACAAGTTAATAAAAGCGACATAACAATTCTCCAGTTTTACCTCAAATACTCATCCAACTTAAACCCAAACCTCTATTAGTTTACCTTCCCCTGACACATCAAGTGAAAACTCTCCTCAGAAATAACCCCATCTCAGGGCGATGGAGTTCTGACACCTGAACTCACATACCCCCGATGCAACTCCCCTAATATTGTGACTGCCACTTAACCAAGTTTTCCGTCCTAATAAAATGAAGCCCAAACCTCTATTGTTCCTCTGGAATCACACCTGGGACAATTCAATTACAACCTCATCAGCTCATGTTAACCACGTCTAATCTCTCTAAACTAGTTAGCTTAACATACGCTGGTTCACATTTTAACTTTTCTCTTCCTTAAAGTAACACAATTCATTAATCTTTCATTTCGCATAAATCACACCCAAACTCGTTTAGTTTCAGCTGTCAGACCTTTTCTCTTCAACTTTGATATAGAACCAGGTGCAGAACAAAGCCTTCTCAGCCCTAGATTCTGATTTCATTATCAAAAAAGAAATAACTAGCTCACTTAAAAGGCGTACAATAGTTATTCAACCTTAATTAATAGAAATCACTTCAACAGGCAAATATCCAAGCAAAATCTTGAAATAAGAAAAGGTTTCAATTTAAAATTGTTAAAATCTTACATCTTACAAAAGAAAGAAATAAGAACATAGAGTACAATTTGATGGGACGAAGCGGATAATAACCGTTTGTCAGTATAAAGTTACACAGTAGTACTGTACTAAATTCTTTCACCTGACTTCAAGTCATGTGAAAGCATTTATTCAAGCTAACTTGATAAAAGATACCGAAAAATTTTATTTGCAACATATTTTTGCCAAGATTTTATCATAAGTCAGTTTTTTAACCTTCCACCTCGTACTTTGAACATCAGTCTAGAACTTTAAGTCTAATATTTGAAAGATGCTGGTTACACTCTTACTACTACTTTACGTGTTACTAGGAAGATGACCTGCAAACCTGAAGTCACTGTACCTCGGCTGGAGGGGGATATGAAGAGCTTGTATGGGTTAACTGTGACTGAAGTCAAGGAGCTGCAAAGTTACGACGATGCAATGTTTACCTTCAACACTCATGGTATGTTATTATCTTAACAATTATCTATGCGGAACTTGTTATCTAATTCTGATTATTATTGGTAGATAAGCGAGAACTCGTCTCCTTTTTAATTTAGTAGTAGAAAAGCATGATACACATATTACGTCAGCAATTCTGTGCCCTCTTCAGACCTCACTCCGCCTAACTAATTGTGGTAACACTATTATATTAGCATATTAGTATTTCGGTCAATTTCGAACCCTATCCTCTCTCCTTAAGATGCTGACGTAATATATTATGAAGCCTCCCATACTAAGATAGAGTTAAATAAAATAGAGCGGAAAAGATTTAGACTTACCCTCTCCCCGAGGATAGAAAACGAAAGATACATAGCAAAATACTACAACCCTCTTTACACAACGGAGGATATCCTGAGTAAGATACTGGAAGTTTTGGTGCACTTGAAGAAGTTGAACGTGCCCCGGCCTGTGCCACAACTTAGTGGGAACATGTTATCTCGCGTAGGTTAAACTGTGTGTATTAATATTGATTTATTATATTTGTCTGGGAACACAAGCACAACCTACATTTTCTGATGTGAACTTGTGAACTTGACTTGTATAGTTGTCTATATTTAGTCGTTATCTTGGGAACAATTTCTTGAAGAAGTTATGCTAATCAGAATTTTATTTTAGGACAATTGTATATATTATTAAGATCTATAATATTGTGTTGTGTTGATATTGCCATAACAATTTCCAATTACCACCTATTCAAGTTTTCAAATTATGCTGACTTCATCCACTGAACTTACACGGTGGTACGTTTATCCCAGGTCCCTGCACAATGTTATCTATTTCATATCCTCAGATAGAAGACGAAAAGAACCAAGGATTAGCTGGTTATCTGGTAGTTTACAACTATATTTCAGGGATATCACTTTGCTCCCAAACCAAAGATCCTTCCTTCTGGAGAAAATTGGGTGCATAATTTTTGTATTAATAAAAGTACAATTGATTGCACACTGTGTGGTAACCAACTTTTTCTAGCCGATTAATTGATCTAAATGAGGAAGAGATAATATATCAATGTTTTAAAAGTAACGGATGTCTTCCACCAGGTAAAATGGTTGCGGAGATATCAGAAAGAATGTCCGAAGTAGAGTGTGAGAACTATGTCCGTCATCACAATTGGGACCCACTTAATGCTCACAAAACATTAGAAGAAGTTCGGAAATACTTCCCTGGAGACAGAATACCAAATGTCAATGTGAGTTATTCAGACCTAGTAGTAGAAGTAGTATTGTGAGTTTACATGTTCGAGTTGGTCAAATGTTCCTGCGGTTTTACTCAATGTTCCGGTGGCGTAGCATTGGGATTAGTGACCGTTTGCCACAGTGAAGGGGACTTCACTGGGTCACTTAGCCTTTTGAAAAACAGAAATGTTTATATCCAAAAGCACTAGGGTAAAGGGTTCAAGCCCCTACCAGGAATGTCGAGTTTTTTGTTCGGACGTTGAAGCCGCCCTAAGTATTGTGAGTTGGAGGAGGATAGCGCATAAGAGGGTTACAATAATAATTCCTTATGTACCTGTGATCTGTCAAAGCTAAGGGATCGAGTTTACAATTTAAAATTCCGCCTTGATGAGTTTTCTTACAGGTTGATTCTGTCATTGCATCTTTAAAGACAATTGAGACCGATCTGAAGGACATTCCTAAGCGTTTGCAACATACCGATGTTAACGAGTATAATATCATCCTTGGTGAAGATGATGAAATGTGGATCATTGATTTCAACGATCTGATACTTTCTTACAGAGTCTTTGATCTGGGACATTTTATTGGTTACATGACTTGTGCTCAACATTGCAATTTGAAGGTTAGTAATAAATGTGATTAACAACTATGAGGATTAGTGCTGGAGAGTATGATCAAGTTTAGTAAAGCGATATATTATGATGTTTCGCTAATAGATAATACCCTTCCCATTCTTTTGATATACGATATTCTCTTCGGCCTAAAAAAGAAGTACAGTTTCTGTATTGTTGTAAGTCACCTGTTGTGTCACGCCAGCTAGAAGCTGCACAACCACCCTGATTTAACTCTGTGAAATGTGGTATCAGCTTGAGAACTGTTTTTATTCTTCAGACTGGTGGATATGTGTTTGAAGGGTACAGCTCCGTTATAAAGCTATCAGATAAAGAACTCAACATGCTGTACGATGTAGTGATCGCTAGATTCACTCTGAGCGTATCTATTGGGTGTCAAACAATCCTCTCTGGTGGCGCTAACGATTATGTGAAAAAGTGTGTGGACAATAATATTGTTTATCTTCAGAAACTCACCAACTTTGGCCGTGAAACCTTTAATAAAGTGGTTATTGGAATTTAGTTGCTCTGGGCCTTGTATTTATTAAATACTTTTCAAACTTTATAGAGTGCAGCGATTATAACGTATAAAATGATCATCTAATAAACTATTGCCCCCCGTCTGTACAATCTGATGGGGGAACCAAACACAATAATGCACAGTGAACTGTACCTACAATTACTTAGGCATGTTTAAATAACAAATTTATCAAACAAATTTATGAAACAAATTTATGAAACATATGATTTTTATGTATGATGTTTATACACACCCGTTAATTAGAAGATAGATTATTAAATTATTTCAACTTAATTTCATAATTATTGTGTTTTATTACTATCTGGCAATTCTATCTGAATTTTTATTAACTATTTCATATTATGTAGTAAGTAAACAAACACTATTACTATATACTAGTGTTTGTACAGATGTATGTTTTTAATAACCGAAAGTACCTCTTAGAGGCAAAATAATCTACATATCATCAACGTAAGGCGCGAAACGTTTTCTGTATGCAAACAAGGCCTTTTTTCGCGCGCGCGTAGCTTCACCGACCGGCCGGCCAGCCTAAATTATTCCAATCCATTGCCACGCTCCATATGCCACGCTACTGCACTGGTGAACCATGACCGATCCAGATCATGTATCGAAATTATTACACTTACCCAGAATATAAAATACCTTTCGGCTGGACTGTAAAACAATGCAGGCCCTGAGGCCCTTGCTTCTCTAAGAGCCGTAGTGGCCATAAGTGCCAGAGAATGAATTCGTTGATAGCGACTTGACGAACGGATTCACTTCTTCAGAGTTCGGCTGCATGCTGAATCCGAAAATTGTTAACGGAGTAGTCTTAAGATTTAATTAAATGTTATGTGATATTCGGCTGATGTTAATTTGGGACCTCTTCAGAGTTTAGTCTAGTAAGTATGAAAACTAGTAAGCCATGAAAACTGGAATAAGCACAGAAACAGTCACGATAATGATATTAAAACTGATCTGAACATAAAAGAAATTTAAGTCTGGCATTTAAGAAAACTTAATGCTTAAACAGCGAATCCTTATTTTTCTAGAAAATATGCATTTTACAGTTGTACAAAGTGAAACAAAATTGTGTATGGAGCAATTTTACCTGGGGACCCCAGGCTATAATGTTCATAAACAGGCGGAGATTAGGCGGAATGACAGGCTGAGCGTCGCCCAGTAAGGAGCAATTCTGATGTAAATGATAATATTTAAATGGGTCGTTAAAGCTTACATATATTCTATTCGCTCTTTATCTACTGTGTTCAAACGATCAGCACATTTTAGGTACTATACAGAACAATGAACATGGTCGGTAAAAGAGTAAACACGCAGGCTAAACTTTTCTGCTATGAGATCCAGATCAACAGACTTCAGACGTTGTAGCAAAATTTCAGGTATAAATTACACTTTTTGGGTTTACGTATATATTATTCAAGTGGAATTCAGCGTGATCTCCTCCAACATTCCACACAGAAGTTCCAAATTCCTCTTTAAAACTTCAAATTAAATTACACTCAACATCTACCCCAAATTCTACAGTCCACAGAATTCTATCAATACGCGACGATCAATAATTGGAGAATACTATTAGACTAAAATTTTGTTCCCCGTTTTTTACTCACAGAAATTGGTCTTGGCTCAAATTGAATATCAGCAATTTTGTAGGCGAAGGAAATTTGACATTATATCTAACGTTTCACTGCATTTACACGAGAATCACTATTACATGTATTGTACACTATTAGTATGTATTTTAATTTGGTGTAAGTGGTGGCCGTTGTATTTTATAAACCGTTTTTAACGAGTTTTTTTACGATGCAGAATTTTGTGAGGAGATTTAGGCAGAATGAACTGTAGCTCATATTTTGTTATTTAAGCTGCTCTACGAGCACACACGCTAGCTAGTTAGTTTTTAGATAGTTAAGAGTATTAGTTAGTGTAAATTAGTATCCTGATGGGGGTGATGCAACGTCAATTAATGTCAGTATTCCATAAAAACCCCAAACTGACATTGACATTAATTGACATTAATTGACATTAATTGACATTAATTGACATTAATTGACATTAATTTGTCTTGAAATTTGAGATTATCATTATTCGATAAATATTCAAGATATTTACGTCTATATAAGTTAGACCGGTTCAAAAAAACAAAATGTCCTTGAATAATTATGAGTGTGTTCTTACCTGTTGATCCTTAGGTTCAAAGACCACCAAAAAAATTTCAGCTTCCAACTCTTCCATCTTCGGTCCCCACCGGCCACGCCCATATTTTATTGGTTTCTTATACAGGTAAAATATCTAGAATCGGCTTTTTTAGTATGAAGGAGTAATGTTAGCTGTTTAAGATTCGTTATTCAAATATAAATGTCATGAAGGCATTTCGTTTAATGTGGGTTTTAAGTTCTGATGATGTTGAGAACCACGCCCTTGGATGGCCACGCCCATTTAAAAAAAAATTAAAAACCGTATTATTTTAGTTTTATTGTTTAATGATCTGAATTTTTCACATTTCCATATGTGATAGTCGTGAATAAATTGATGATATAAACGTTCTAAAGTGCTAAAAATATGGTAGAACTGCATAATCTCTGGTCGAAAAATATCGTGTCAATTTATGTCAGTATTCCAAAATTTTGCAAAACTGACATTGACATTAATTGACATTAATTGACATTAATTGACATTAATTGACATTAATTGACATTAATTGACGTTGCATCACCCCCATCCTGATTCCTGTATCAGTCAGGATCTGTTAGCACACAAAAGTGTCAGTTTTTGCGAAGCAGGTCTGACTTTCATATATATTCTTATAGTGATAGACTTTATCATATAAATTTATTTTGAACTTAGTAAAAATTGCAGGGAATAAAGAGAAATTTAAGATTTCATGTCTATTCTTATATTCACGTATATTAAATACAATAATTATATTGTTATGTATCATATGATTTTGTAAACATTGGCCGGTGTACCAAAAACCGGTCCCCAAACAAAACAAACACATACTCTTTCTGCCATAAAAACGAAAATTAAACAGTTTGTCAAACTTACAATTACATTGTCAAACAAACCTTTATATTAGTAATTATACTTTTCTTTATGAAGAAACGATGAAAAATTATGTCCATTTTTAGCTACAATTACAACAAAAAAGACATGCCACACTAAACCAAGTTCTGTTGCTTAGAATCGGTGAATTATCAGTTATCACCGACAATTTACTGGGAAAAAAAATCAGCAATCAACTATAGGAGTAGCATGATTGAGATCCTTCATTTCTACATTATTATTTAATCTCTGACTGTGTAGAGTACTCTTGTTCATAGCTTGTGTGTGCATTGTTCCCAGACTTGACACGTGCGAATTTTGACGCACTTTCATTATAAATGAAAGGCACTTTAGTAGGCACTGATCATTGATATGCCTGAGTTCTACTTTGAATTGAGATGCTTTGAAAGCATAGATTATAGGATTAACCGCGCTGTGAAGTCCCAGGATCAGGAGAGCAAAATTCTGAAGGTAGAGTTGGGTAGATATTGGTAACCCGTCAATGAGATGCAGCAGCCTGAGTAGGACCCAGACGAAGTAGACGGTGAAGCAGGCAATGTAAGCACACAGCACCGTTAGTAACGTGACTGTAACTCTGTTATCCTTCCTCCTCATCCTCCGAACCCGCCACGAGATCACGCACACTGACACTATGATTACGAACGAAGGCAGGTAGAGCGACAAAATGTCTGTAGTAACCAGAAAGGTGGTGTTATTAACAGCCAGTTCCGTGTTGATAGATGCCATGGCTGCTCCAATGAAATACTCGTAATCCTCATTCATCAGGTACGGAGAGATGGCCACCAGTAAGCTCAGTAACCAACAGGCAGCGATGATGATGACCGCGTACGACTTGTTAATTCTGGTGCGGTAGAAGTGGGGCGCCAACACAGCTACCATCCGTTCCAGGGAGATGACAGAGAGATTTAGGATGCTGCTCATTCGGGCTGTGATGTAAGTGAACCCCCAGATCTGGGTCCATCTGTCGGATATTTCTATGATGTGTCCTTCGCATTGCGACCAAATCTGAGACAATTTGTTATTAGGATTAAAATTGCCCATAGTGTCCATCGAGACTCGAGAGACAGCTCACATTATTTCGCTCGCCTAAAATATCATGTGCGACTTGGGTTTCACGGTTTTGCAACCGAACAAAACGGTTTTACAAAAACTCTAACCCCATTCCTCAATCCGCAACCATGACCCTTAACATGAACATAACCTCGAAGCTAACTGTAAACTTAGCCCCAACCCTAAACAATCGAATCTATGATTTACTAGCCTGTCACGTAACCAAAATGTTTTTGCATAAGGACACGTTCATTTGAGTTTGAGGATATTGGTAAACAAAAATGATAGCGTTTTTGACGATAGTGGCTTAATTTTGACATATATTAACCTAGCACGTTCAGAAGTTCTGAACATTAGCCACGTAACCCATACTCCCATATGCACTGCTCAGAAAGAAAATCTATTGTTGTTAGGCACTATGTGCGATAGGTGTATTTTAGTTTAGGTACATATTATTATTTAAGAATTGGATTATATTGAAATTTAGAATAACTTTAATCTTAATATGTAATCACGTTATAATCCTAATGAAGTAATTGCTCAGTAGTATTTATATAGTTTATATGTTGTTTGTTGTAAATTATCATGAATCATCTTCACCTCAAATTGTACCGTTTAGATTCCATATAGTTTCAGCACCTCAAATCATATAAGTTCTCATTTCCCAGCAAATAGTTTCATACCTGTCATTAAGTTCTGTAGACGCATTTCACTTCAACCAATAAGCTTCACTCAATTAATTAGCGATCCTATCAGGCCTATTTCATTTATTCACGTGACACACCATCCCATTTATAATCTTCCGCTTTAGTTCACCTTGTTGAAAGAGTTTGTCACCATTAGTCTGATTACTCCTAAACTCATTCCTCTTTCATGTCACATGACCATTCCTCACAAGTTTTAGATTCACGAGTCATGATACAGTTTTGAAGATTTAGTTCTGTGGATTACCATTTTAATAAGTTTATATTTTTCATTCTCTTCCGCAAAACTCTTTATTTAAAGTCTTTTATTTTGTAAAACCTACCACTAAGTCGAGCAGCTAGGTACACTAAGTGTGTGCTACATTTTGGTGCTGCGACCAGGATTTTCGTTTGACCTGGTTAGCTGCTAGACATCATTCCTTGTTGAATTTCGAAATAGCACAGAATTACGAATTACGTACTTGTGTTTATTTTTTTGGATTTCATATTAATCTAGAATCTCGAATCACTTTTATTTATTTCTTTAATTTAATATTACGCTTAAACCCTAGAATTCCTTACTGAATAACTTCTGTACCGAATTTATCGAATATTTCCCGTTCGAGCCAAGAAAGCAATATTCAAATATTATGGGTGACTTAGGCGGACAATTGAATGCTTTGAATGAGGAGCAGAAGCAAGCTGTTCGAGCTTATGCTACTACACATGCTATTACTGCAGTAGAGACTGCGAAGCTTGACTTTAGGGCTGGAGTTGCAGGGAGTCGTAGGCCGAATACCTTCGATCCATCTATCACTACCATCCAAGCTTACTTTGACATGTATGAGCCCTTTAGATATATAATGTGCATGAACGGACAACAAGCGGTTAACACTTTCTTGACCTATTTGGATTCTAAGTCTCTTAATTTAATAGTGGATCAGGAACTAACCACTGAGGACGATTGGGATACTTTTAAAGCAGAAGTAATTAAAGCACTTAGTACTCCTAGTGTAGCAGTCAAGGCAAGATTTGAGATCAAGAAAGCCACACAGTTTCTTGATGAGACGGTTGCGCAATTTGGTCAAAGGTTACTAGAATTGGGCAAAATTGGGTACAATGTAAACCAACTTGCTGCCAGAGATTCGATTTTAAAGGACGCATTATCTGCAGGAGTTCTAAGAGATGATCTGAGTATGATTCTTATCAACCTCTGTGATAAGACATTTCATGAACTACTGGCTGAGGCAGTTAAACTGGACTCGTCATACCAAGCTAGGCAAACGATCAAAGCTCGTGATAAGGTAGAAGTATCAGTAATGAAAACCGAATTAGATGCTGCAGGAAAGTTTGATCAGGAATATTTCCAAGTCCCTGTTATGTACACGAGTAGAGGAAGACCACAACAACATAACTGGCGTGACTCTAGAAGCTACAATGTGCAATGTTATAATTGTCAAAAGTATGGCCATTTTGCAAGCAGCTGCCATTCTCGAAACAACACATTCACTCCAAACCAGATGGTTCAGGGATCACGAGGCTTATATTATGAGAACTCTTCCATGCGGCCTCATAGATGTTTCATTTGTGGCCAGAATGGACACTATGCTAGAAATTGCGGGTTCCAGGCTGTAGATGATAGTAGCGGTCCTTATCAATATGGGCAGCCAACGAATGAAAACTCACAAAACTTCAGTAGGTCTGATGATTATCGACAACGTTCAGTTCAGCGTGGATATTATCAACCCTATGTACCAAGATATCCACCTTTTCAGAATACAGGTGAGGGTCCTCAATGTGAAAATAGGTCACTTCAAGATAGAAAACATCAGGCTAATAATATAGCACTTGAACACCAGCAATTTAGGGAGCAAGAACATTCTAGAAGGCATGGTTCACAGAATGTAGGAAGCAGAGTAGCAGAAGGACAGGAGCAGTACAATGATCAATGGTCTCCACACGATTTAGTGAATAACGAGAGGAGTGTAGATTGTGGTACCGTCCCGGAGGATGACATTGAAAGGCAAACAATAAATCTTTGTAAAGGTCGCGTGTATCTGAATGTAGACATTAATTCCGTTGGAGTTAAGGCTCTTATTGACACAGGATCCAGCTTGAATCTGATTGGAGAAAAGCTAGTCGAAAAACTTGGACTTAGCAAGCTAGTTACAGAAGGAACTTTCAAATTAGTTGGAGTCACTGGAGCACCACTGCAAACTTCGGGAATTTTACACAATGTACCAGTAATAGTTAAAAATGCCGTGTTAGAATGCGATTTCATAGTGACAAACATGATGAACGAAGCATGCATTCTGGGTCAATCATTCCTTTCACAGCACCACATTATCATTGATTTTCACTCCAAAACGGTGAAAAACAGCATGTTTGTAGCTGACCTTCTAGAAGGAACACCCAGTAACAACACTCTACAAGTTAGTATCACGCAAGACACTGTAGTAACTGGATTAGATGTTTCGGAGTGTGCCGTAAACGATAATGCAACGTTTGACCACATAAAACCACCTGCTGTTTCTCCGAATACTATACACATCGATATGCATTTAGAAATAATCGAGAATAAAGTGAAGAAAATATCATGTTACATTAAAACTCCGGAACATGTAGATCGTGAGAATGTTGCATCAACTGTTCATCAGGAAGAAGTAGGTTAAGAATATCAAAACATGACCAAATCCACACCAACGGTATGCATTAGAGTGCAAAGTGTCACCGTAAACATGTGTATGTTTGCAACTCATGAAGCTTATAGTATAATGCAAGAAGATCAGGAAGATAATACGAGTACTGCAAATGATCTAGAGCAGCAGCATGAAACTTGCACCAAAACGACCAGATTGAGTGAAGATGAACCTATGATGCCACCTAATGTTAATGAGTATGATCTTAATCAGGCTCTTTAACCAAGTCACGGAGACGTTTTATGGTCAACAGTGAGAAGAACATATTAGGAATAATAAGGGCATTTGTACGAAAAATATTATTCCGTAGTAGTGTGTATTTGGTATTCATGCAGGAGTTGAGTCTTCGTCATATACTTATTGATGAATCAACCGAACAGTTGCAATATAATTTACATATTATACTGCAAGTGAGGGTATTAGAATTTCAATTGTGGTACAGTTGATTTTCTTATATGGCAGAGGCGGCCGTTGAGGGCGTCATGAATATCGTTTCAAGAGCTGAGAAGTAAGCAACTTGTCAGCTAATAGTACAGTGAATTGAGGCAATCACTTCACAAAGTTAGATAAGTTCAGTACACAGTGAGTTTCCGCAACAGAAGTTTACATCGAGAGTGCGATGTATTTGATTTCATAGCGAAAAGAATGTTTGTAACGAGAATGATTTACAGTTTGAATAAAGAGTTGTGAAATGTGAACAAGTTTTTATGAGTTAATAGCGCAGGATTCACGGATAATGGATGAAAGTTTATTGCAGGCCGGCAATTATTCTAGTCATTATACCGGATGAGAGCTCGAAAGTGGACGGTTGGAGTATCTAAATTATGAGAGGGGAATAAGATTGGAACTCTTATTAATTTCTCTCTGTTCCACGTAATTTAAGATCTCTACCAGAAGTTAAATAATGAAACGATCATGTGATATGTTTTACAGATGTCAAGCTATGAAATAGGAACCCGCACTCATCGGTTTAGTATTATGTTGTGGAATTGCAACTGGACTGGACAAAATGTTTACAAAGAGATACCACTTTTTAAGCAATGCGGCACTTAAAACCTGTTAAATACAAGCCACCCGCCACTAGCACTGAAGTGCGGTACAATCTGTGTTCAAGAAAACGGGAACTCGATATGACCCTCATTTCACACAATGTAAAGAATACGTGCAAACTGTCGTACATTAGATTTATCCAGTACTTCATCATGTGAAAGTTCGGTACTCACGAAGAAAAGGAACTCAAGGTCAGCAAAACTCAGACTACTTATTTATAATCTAAATAAGTATAGCCATTTCTCTTAAAAAGATGGAAAAAATGGAATAAGAGTCAATGAAGTATAATTCAGTTCAACTTTGCGACTGTATTATACGTGTAGACTCATTATGTTATTTTTTGTTGTTTTTTATTATAATTTATATTTTACGAACCGCTCCTGTATTATACACTAAATATTTGATATCTATTTACTTTAAACTTTTAAAGATATATCGTTACCTTTCTAATTACGTTTTAAGTCCACATGAATGAATCATTGAAACATGGAAATAGGTCGAGGAAGAAGAATCAGTGAAATCCGGAGGATCTGAATGAGAAGGAGAACATGGATTGGCTAAATCATAGCCTAAACGAAAAACGATAGACTTTGGTCGAAAACCTGAACCTGACGGAAGAAGTAAGAACTACTACCTTACTACAACTACACTGCAACTAGGACAACTAGACTGCAACTCGGAGGACATTCAACATAGAACTGTTATTTTGCTAAACTTTGTATTTTTTGAACAACCTGGTCTCCCAAGGGGGAAAGGAGAAGTATAATTGATAGCATGTTTATTATTTTGTTCTGAAGTATTAGTTATATTATAGCTTTAAGGTTGACGAGAAAAGTAGAAAGTTTTGAACGTATTTGTATTTTACCAAAATTTAAGGAGTTATGTTTATCATTAAAGTTATAAGTATTATTAAAGTTATGTTTATTATTAAAGCTCTTTTAATAACGTACCTTTTTAAACTATCCCTAGATGAACTTGAAAAACTTTATCAATAACTGTTTTTGTCTTATCTGGAGTTTGATCTTTGCATAATACGTTTTGTATTTAAGTACCATTTTTCTGGCGATATATTCTCCAGCATAAGCTACTTTTCTGAACATGTTATTTTCTGGGAGGACTTGTTTAAAATGGCTGAGTATAAGTTTTATCTTAAAAACGGTGTTATTAAATTTATTATTATTATCGTCTTTTTATATGGGGAGATGGGAGAGTTGTGCGATAGGTGTATTTTAGTTTAGGTACATATTATTATTTAAGAATTGGATTATATTGAAATTTAGAATAACTTTAATCTTAATATGTAATCACGTTATAATCCTAATGAAGTAATTGCTCAGTAGTATTTATATAGTTTATATGTTGTTTGTTGTAAATTATCATGAATCATCTTCACCTCAAATTGTACCGTTTAGATTCCATATAGCTTCAGCACCTCAAATCATATAAGTTCTCATTTCCCAGCAAATAGTTTCATACCTGTCATTAAGTTCTGTAGACGCATTTCACTTCAACCAATAAGCTTCACTCAATTAATTAGCGATCCTATCAGGCCTATTTCATTTATTCACGTGACACACCATCCCATTTATAATCTTCCGCTTTAGTTCACCTTGTTGAAAGAGTTTGTCACCATTAGTCTGATTACTCCTAAACTCATTCCTCTTTCATGTCACATGACCATTCCTCACAAGTTTTAGATTCACGAGTCATGATACAGTTTTGAAGATTTAGTTCTGTGGATTACCATTTTAATAAGTTTATATTTTTCATTCTCTTCCGCAAAACTCTTTATTTAAAGTCTTTTATTTTGTAAAACCTACCACTAAGTCGAGCAGCTAGGTACACTAAGTGTGTGCTACAACTATAATGGTTCAAATGTCACATTTTGTGTGACTTAGTTAACTGCAGTTGTCTAATTATCATTCCTTGGTCTGAAATATAGTAGATTAGGTCAATCTAACAATTATGATACCACATTGGTTAAAGGGCACGGATCGAACGGTTACAAGGCAATATTTGGGTAACTTTGTCACACTCAGAATACCATACCTCTATTCTACTGTGAAGTGTCCTCAAAAACTTTTAACTCTTTATTTGATGGTTGATCTACCAATCATAGCCCTAAAATATTTTGTTTCGAATAGTTAGCTAATACAGGCACTTGGTTATTAGGAAATGAGGTTAATTCTGTCACAATATATGGAATTTTAAATTTTGGGCGAATTATTTATATAATCTGATTTTGGTCTGAAAGGCGGGAAAACTTTATATGATGACAATGTAGTTGATGCAAGTTAAGATCAGTTGATGTTTACATTGTCACAAAAATGATACGAAATCGTAAATAGGTTAAAAACAATGATTATAGAATGAAATAGTCTCTTATAATAACTCTTATAATAACTGATGTGACAAAGTAAACATGTCTTGCCCCTATTTTGAAGATCTATATATTCTATGACTCTATTAGAATTCAACATTCTTCCAGAAAAAAATCGGTAGAATATTGTCCAGAACATCAGAGCTCAATTTTAGGTTAAATTTGTCAAAGTTACTAAAAATGTGACAAAATTAACTTTTCCTGCCCCAACAATTTCAAGATAGTGTGTAAAAATTAGCATAGGCTGCTTTATTGCCTATATAAATCAATCCAAACTACGAAAAAGATCTGTTAATCTGATGACGATTACCTAACTCTTATAATAACTGATGTGACAAAGTAAACATGTCTTGCCTCTATTTTGAAGATCTATAACTCTATTAGAATTCAACATTCTTTCAGAAACGATTGGTAGAATATTGTCCAGAACATCAGAGCTCAAGTTTAACAATTTTAGATTAATTTGTCAAAGACGCTGAAAATGTGACAAAATTAACTTTCCCTGCCCCAACAATATCAAGATAGTGTGTTAAAATTGGCATAGGATGCTTTATTATCTATATTAATCGATCTAAACTACGAAAAAGATCTGTTAATCTGATGACGATTACCTAACTCTTATAATAATTACTGATGTGACAAAGTAAACATGTCTTGCCCCTATTTTGAAGAGCTATACCTCTATTAGAATACTATGTAACTTTATCATCAATGAACTAGTTATTTTGCCAGCAAGGAGCTAACAGAGTTATAATAATTTTTTTTGTGACGAAATAACCCTATTTTTGACCATGTTGCGGTAGTTTAATTGTGACACTGTTAACATATTACCACCCGATAATGGTTTATGTGACTAGTGCGTGGTACTAGCAGTGTTGTTTGATCCATAGTACATAAAATAAGGGGTTTAAGCTGGTATATCATTATTTGTTCAATTTCACACATGTTCAGATATCATCAAGATTATGTGACAAAGTAAACTTGTTTGTGCCTTCTCTGTTTTAATTCCTTACGACTATATGATATAATAACAATTCCTAGCACTTCCAGGCCATCAAATAAACCTAAACTACTCAGAATTGCTTATCAGGGTGCCCTAAACATTCTTCACATGTTTTCTTAAATGTGTGACGGAGTAAACCTGAGTGCACCATCTAACGAAAAAAGTCGTCAAATATGTACGTAATGGTCATATGTACCCATTCAATCAACTGGACACTCAAAAATCTGGTCAAAAACGGCAGCAAGGGGTCCATATTTACTCCGTCACATGTTTATAGTGTGACAATGTGCCGGCCGTATTTAATCGATATCTTATCACCTGATTAAGATATCGTTAAGTGACAAAGTTAGCCTAGAGGATGAGACGATTATCCTAACCATCAAGGGTTTGTGTAATTTCATAGTGTGACTAAGTCAACTACACTGTGCCTTTTAATAGGGTCACTTATATTTACCAATATCCTCAAACTCAAATGAACGTGTCCATAACTTCTCAGGGAAGCATTTTTATCGTATGAATAAATCGGTGATTCGGAATCAGGGCCTTTTCACAAGATATTACAACAATTTGGGAGCGTCGAGAGACACTTAATTATTAAATTAATCCATTGTCATAACCGTGTAGTGAACACTGAACATGGTGTACACTGTACGCTCTAAGCAGATGTCAGGAGAAAATTGAAATCCACAGTTAACTGGTAACTGTCAGATCAGTGACAACTGTCAGATGTCAAGAGGCAGTTTAATTTATATATTAGCAGTCTAAAAGCTGCACGCTTAGGTTAGGATATTTCTTAAGGAAAGAGTTCACGCGATTTAGCCATTACCCTATCCACACAGGCTTTGCCTGGCCTATACATCAACTTCAATTACTTGCTACTCCAACCCGGCCGATAATGGCAAGGTAACCTAGTAATTAGTATGCAATAAAAGCTTGTACCTGCGGAATAAGGCACGGTCCCATTAGCAGGAAGTCTGCTAAAGCGAGGGAGGCGTAGTAAATTCCGTACATGCCAGCCTCCTTCTTCAGTTTAGCACATATCATCAGCACGAACAAGTTGCCTGAAGGAGAGTACCTGTTAATCACCAGGTGGCCTTGTTGTCTGATCGTTATATCACGTGACTTGGCGAGTATATTGAGGAATAACCTGTTCTGTAAGCCTGACATCTTATCACACCCAAGAGTAATTGTATCTGGTGTGAGAACTACAATTTGTCTGAATTATGAATATCAAATAAAAAATATTTGCAAAACAACGGATCAGTTTTAATTATGTGACCTGTGACACCGACTGCAGCGATGATACAACTGCAGGTTATAATAACATACTCCAGACTCAGCACGAAGGGTGCTGTACCGTTCACACTGCCCATCAGATACCTAAAACATAGTTAAATGGTCAATTAATTCAATTAATTAATCAATTAATTGACTAATTATTTTAGATCTGTAGCTCCGTTCATACTGTACAGCTAAATAATGAGTTATGAACATGTTGAATCATTTAACATATTAGAACTTGCTAGATGCTAGTACTAGAATGTTGTAAGAAATTACAATAACCATTCTTGCCAACTAAACGTATAGTTTTAAAAAAATGCTAAAATTTGTCAAAAATATGCCAAAAGTGCTATTTTTTAGTGGTCATTGAGCACATTTGTCAGAAAACGGCAGAATTGGACTATCGAACTATAAAAGGACTATTAGTATTTATAGTTCTATTTTTAAAAGCTGCTTCTTCAATTCCGAAAATTCCGACAGGATGTTAGTGAAACAAAAAATTTGGCTGCCGTCAAAACTATGAACAATTATCTCAAATAATAAGTATAACCGTGACAATCAATAAAAGTGAACTTGTAGCTTGAAGACGAAAAAATGCAGCTATTTATTTAATGGCGTTACCATTTTGTTACGCCATTGCATTTAACTTTCATCAAATAATACAGAATTATGAAGCAATGAACTTATATAAAAACAATGACAAAGAATATTTAGGATGGGGAAATACTCAGACTAGTTATTATTAGGGCAGGGAGTAAACAGGATTCGACTGTACTATATGATGGGGAAACCATTAACAGCACACGCTCTCTCCGGAGTCTTACTCTGCCCCCAGTAAAAATTATCACAAAAACTAACCGTGACAAGTGATATTGTTGTTGTCTCACATGATAGTGCTAATGAACGACCTACAACATACAATGCTTTTAACGGAAGGTATCGTCCGCGTTGTTGACAGAGAACCAGGAGGTAAGCTAAACCTGGACTTTAAAGTTGGCCCGACTTCTTGTCATGGTCAAGCAACTCCCGTATCGGAATAGTGCTCTAGGCCTAGCTATATCGAGATTTCTATCAAGATGAAATTACGGATTTACTTGATCGGAAAATTAATTAAGATGCGGACAGTTATGAGAGAAATAAGGAATAGGTTTCATAAACCAAACATTTTAGGAGTTTGTAACTGTGATCGTTTTGATTGATCGAGGATTGGCCCGTAGAACCAGACAATGTTTAATTATATTGGTTATTAAAAATCCACACAACATCAAATGTTGTAAAATCAATATTATTATATTTATATGCCAAGCGCTATAATATATGAAAGAAAAAGTCGGCTTGTTGGTTTGTCGTGGATCGGATTATGATTTTGGATTTGTCAAGGATTCTGATTTGTCAAGAATTCCGATCCAACAAATATTTTTTTCAATATCATTGAAAAGTTGAAATATGAAGATATCTTAGGACTCTGAAAGTGAAAGATTAGTTTGACGCACCTAAAAGTTTCTACTCTCTAGCATGTTTTAAATATCAAAATAAAAGTTAACACAATTGGGTCAGCAAAAGTCTCTACGATATATTATTATTCAGGAGCTGAGATAACTATATATTACATAATATTAATATAACACAAATAAAGGACGAATATCCCGGTCGGCACAATTGGGCTCGGAATTTGTTGGTTCTTAAGAATTGGGAGAGGCCCCAAAGTCAGCCCTCTACTATGATAAACTTAGGTAAACAAGTCATTTCGTTAATAACTGACCGGACTACTGGAACAAACAGGGTGGCTAGGAAGTAAATACCCACACGCAACCCTTTAATAACTCACGTAATTCGTACCGTACCAGAATTGCTCAAAAATTATCCGGGATTGGGGATCATGCATCAGCATTCCGCCAGATCTTAAAATGGCCATAAATCGGCTTAGGTTTAAACAAGCAACTTGAAATTTTGGGAAAAAACTTCAATTATCAAACCCAATGTGTCTAGAAATTTTGGAGTTCCTATCTGAAAGTGTCCTCAACTTATACTTATAGTGACAATAAGCAAACAGAGGGAGTGGCGTGCCACACCCTTTGCAATCGATGCAATTTTCAAAAATATTACTGGCCATGTTTGTTGCAGGGACTATCTAAGAAGAACTCTACTGTAAATCCAGCAGTTACTCCGCAGAATTCACAAGGTTCAATTTAATCATATAAAATGATTGTCCCTGACTCTCCCATTACAGTGCAACATTAATCAATCTTATTGATTGATTTTGATCGCAAAATTCGTTCTTTCGATTATACTGTTGTTGAATTTGTCACTGGGGTGTCATTATATTTGAATTTGTATCCCGCCTACATCAATAGTTCACACCATTAAAGGTATTAATTGCCGATGTCAGATACTCTAAACACGATTCACTGGTAACTTACATAATTCAAATGTAATGACAAATCTAATTAGTAAAGTATACAACTGGATCAACTAATCTTTCAATGATGGAATCAGGCTTGTCCGCCGTGGCTAAATGGATCGGCGGCGGCGTTTTACTAAAATTACACCGGCGGCGGCGGCGTACGCCGGCGTGAGCCGTGAAATCAAGGCCAACTAAATTGAGGTCTATGAAATATGAATATGATCATGTACTTAATTTGGGTAATTTAGACTTAACTTCAACAAATGATGTTGGTATATTGTTATGGTATTATCTGCTATCAAATAAAAGTTGAGACAAATTGATACAATTCTTTTATTTAAGGTAAAATACATAAACAATAAATTATTGCTGAAATCAATAGATCTCTCAATCTTTTTTGTTGGAAACAAAATCATAGTTTTTAGAACAAAACAGTGTATATTTGAAATTCTTAACATTCATCGTAGATCGCTGACTAGAAAGAATTAAACCTGCAGCCGACCAGGTTCTTTCAATTTCCGCACTACTGGCAGGTATACAATGCACTATTCTTACTATGTTTGAGAGTATTGGCCATTGGGAAAGTTTTTTGCCTATCGGCCCAAAATCTTAAAAGTTCGAATTGTAAAATTTCTTCTTCAGTCAAACTTATGAGTAGGTATCTGCTCAGTTCTTCTGATAATCAATATTGTTAAGTTAGCTAAAGGTGTGTATCATGTGTTTGTTGCCCCTAGCCGCTAATCGCTATCATGGTAACACTGATATCTTCAAATGTAGACAGAATTATTTTGAAGTCAGAAAATGCACGCCGTACGCCGATGTACGCCGGGGTGTATCGGCGGCGTTCGGCGTGGCAAAATCTCCCGGCGGCGGCGGCGTTCGGCGGCGGCGGACAAGCCTGGATGGAATTATCAGACAATTTTAAAGCGCTGACTCTTCAACTGAACGGCGAGACGATTGTTCCAAGCCCTTCGCCGATCACAAATAAGAGTATTATTATTTTATAAATAACTAGAAAACCCGTGGTCACAGGGAGGAAGCTAATAGTGTTTTTTGTTAGGAAGTTTAAATCGCGTCAAAAAATATTCAACACAACTGAAGATACAGCCAATTAAAATGTTGCTCGTACTAAACACAGCGTAATATCAACAAAATAAAACCTATCGTTAAAACAATCATTGCACGTGCGTGTAATAACCCTCGTTACCATAGTTACTACGCAAGTTCATATTTTTCATCTAATTTGCACGTGGGCGGTCGTACATACATCAGAAATAATTCTCTGAATTATAGTAGAGATAGTATGGAAAATAATGGAAGAATGGACTGTTCAATACATCAAAAGGTTATAATATAGTTGGTCACAAGTGACTAAGCTCGGACAGGAATCGCACAGTTCGGCCCGACATAATTATACTGATTTTTAAAAAAGAGGACTGATTTTCGCAAAAATCCGAAGTAGAGTGGTTATTTTAACCTAATACACATGGGTCATGGTATGTCAACAAATGGCATTATAATTTATATGGGCGAAATATATGCATATCTACTATCTAGTTCAAATAAATAGAGACATGCCACTCAGACAGAGCGTGGATATAAAGTTCCTGTTCCTTGTCAAACCAGGTAGACTGAATTTAATTGGTCGACGATTGACAGGCGTGCTAAATCACTCTAAACTCGGACTTCGAGATGTTTCTAAGAGGTCGTTCACAAATTACGATCTAAATAAATTTTTGGACAATTTTGTCATTTTGACCCCCCTCCGTCATCTGAATAATTTTTACACATATATAGCTATTGTGTCAAAATTACATTAGCGTAATCATTCGGAAACTCCCCTCCCCCTCGGGTGAATAAAGCGAATTAGGTCAACAAACTAGAGCGTGAATATTAATATAATATAAACATTGATCTTGAATCTTAATCTGTGTCTCTTTCAGGTTATCGCTCTTAATCAGCGCTGAATTATCAACAAAAAATATGTAAAAAAAACTGGTAGCTCACTCGGTGGCTTAGAATTTTAGAATTAATCAACAACTTGTCAAAAGAAGCGTTGGTAATATTACAAGTTGAAACAAGTGGAATAAGTGAAGTTTCTAACGTTACATTCGCACATAATGTATAATTAATGAAGCGTTAACATATTATAATGGGAAATATACTAAACAAAGCTTGCTAGTTAGTATTCAAATTCAGTTTATACATCAACCGAGCTTAATTGTTTTGGGGATAAAGCACAGTTTCAGTAGCAAAGCCAAGATAACCTTCCTTTAGAGCGATCCGTTAAATGTGAAATAAAGCTGTCGAAGTTGGTCATATTTATATGCGACCACCTTTCGTTATTTGATGCATACCCTCATTATAACGGTTTATACCGTGACAGTTATATGATTAATAGAATTTCTGTCAGAGGTCGAGACAATCCAGTCATCTAACTAATACTGCATATTATATTATAATTAACATTAAATAGATATAATATATTTTGAGCGTAGTTATATTCTAAGACTGCTATAATTATAGTATCAACTCACAGTCACAACCCCGACACAAGGATCTCTGGTCAGTTTGATATTTGATAACTGCAGTGGAACTTATAAAACCATAATCTTACTGGTCTCAGATAGTCGCAGTGCGGACATAACGTCGCGTCTTGGCAAATTTTACAATTGCTTTGCTTCGACAAGATAAGCAGTGTGCTGGGGATAATATTATTAATATTACTATATACTACTATATTATTATATATTACTATGACTTTAACATCAATCAAATCAGGAGTTAGCCACCATTTGTTAAATTAATCTACTTGCACGTGTGCTTATATAATATCCCCGGGCGCCGTGGTTATATGGATAATAATTAATGATATGTCGCGGCAAAACGCAGGTATAATCTTATCCGGGGACCGGGGGCAAGTTCTTTAACTTGAGGGTAGAAACTAGGAGAGATGGTTACTATCCACCGTTTTAGCATTTAAAACCCCGTACTGCCATTAAAATTCGTGCAGTTGAGTCGGATTACATGTTGTCAAATATAAAGTTACCAGCAATTTATATCTTTTCGGTGCCATCGAATAAAATTTGTTTTTGTAACTTGAAATGAGGCGGAAAATAATGAAATATAGAAAGAAGAGTAGTTTGTGGGTTTACACTATAATTTGCTTCCCAACTCTGTTTAAAAGTATACAATTACAGGATAGTACAACAAGGAATAATACATTAAAATGACCCTAAAGGATGTCTTGGTAGCGCAATTCTGCTCGGGTATGGTTGACCGCGTCTAGCTTAGAGTAATTAGGCAAATTTAAACTTTTGAAGAACCACTCTGTATTACTATTACTTAGTACACACTGCACATCTGACCTAGACTCTGAATCTGACCCCAAATACATAAAAAGGGATATTGTTCGATATAATGAGGTTTTTATATGAATGGAATTTGATATAAATGGTCTGTGACGGATAAGGAGAACGGGATTTAAACTTTAATATTCGAACCTTATAACTGAACGAAAATGGACGCTTTATTCGACATATACGGTATTAAACAGTTACTGCCAAGTTCAACGTAAACTAAATGACTGGCTGGAAGGGGGCGCTGATTTAAACTGGTCTGAATATCGGAAACTAGACGGAACAGCGGAAACTAGGCGGAGTAACTGGAGCACAGCTGGTTTGTCCTGATTATAACCACCCTGGAGATCCCTAAAGTTAGAGGGATTAACTGCATGTGTGGTAGGTGTAGTTTGACACCACCAATAGTCATCCTTATCATACCCCCTACTCTTGTTCCTCTGAACAGATGCAGTTATTTCAGTCTCGCAACGTCATGACTAGTGGAAGGGAGAGGAGAGGAGTGTAACAAGCATTAGGGGGTGGGGGGGGGGGGGGGTGGGAACTTCATAGGAAACTATATAATTACTATATACTTAGATGCCATCCCCCTCCCTCCCGAAACAACTTCAATTAACTTGTTGTTGAAAGTTAATTGATATTCTTGGCACGCTGTGGAACGCACAAGTCTCATTCTGTCGCTAATTATCCTAATTAATTTGCCTGATAATTGTGGTTTACAAGAAAAGGAATTACCGGCCAGTTATCAGGTTTTAAGGCCACAAAATAAAGAGCTATTTTTCGCACCGTTGGCGTTATTAGTAATTACATTACATGCTGTTGCGTTTGTTTCACCAATTTGCCAGTATCTACCTAAATTGATTTTAAAGCTTATTTTTGGTGGTTGATTGTCTGCAGTGTGCAGTTTTTAATTATTAACAAACTCATTCCAATCACTTGAGTGCATCCTTCTGTTATTCACTATGATTACAACTTGCCGGAAATAAAATTACAATTAGCTAATATTAAAAGTTAAGAAAAAGAAAATCACAGCACTCTTGATTCTGGAGCAGACTGAATCTTAATTAGAATGGCACTTAATCGATAATACAGAATACTTTATTATAGCACAAGATGATAATATTGTAAAAGAGAATAGTAGTAGGAGTTGTGTTACTTTATAAAGTAACTAGAAAGCCCGTGGACATCACAACCGAAGACACAGCCGATTAAAATTCATTTTGCACTTAATGAGTGAACACAACGTAATTACCCCAAAATTACATTAAAACAATCATTGCACGTGCGCTTTTGAACACCGTTACCATGGTTACTATGCAGCTTCCTATTTTTCACATAATTTGCACGTGGGCGTTCGTACAAAAAGAATCTTTGGAATTATTAATATAATACAGGTCACAGCACAGCTCCTACTACTATTTAAACATAACTGCTCAGTCGATGACCTGCTGAAATCGAATTAGTTTATTAGTTAGCTCAATTTCCGAGCAATGCCCAACATTCATATTCAATAAGTAAACCGTTTGTTGTTGTCATTTATTGCTCATATTGCAGGGTGTGCCAATTCGAATATGACTGATAACTAGATGGTGCCGATACAATCTCATGCAGATATGTAAGTTCATTTCACTTGTTATATTTTTATTGCGTTTAACGTTTGTATTTCTGCATTTTTGGAAAATATTCAAACTTTCTACTATATTTTTAGTTTACTTCATTAATCTTGTCGATTGACTTTGGGGAATGGGGATGGGACAAATCACAAAAGTTAAAATTGTGAAACATAGTTGATCTACAATACTCTATAGTCTATAGCTAAAAGATGTATTCTAAACTAATTATTTGTCATGGTATGGTGAATTTAGCATATGAGTCTTCAGTAGCACATTCTCTATAAACGCACAAACCTTTTGAAATTCAGTAAACATTTTACAACTAGAATGACTTTAAGAATAAGTTAAGGGGGTTTGAATGCGAGACAATTATTATTTTAAAACGTGACTTAAGTGCTAGCAAAGTTGAAATTTTTAAATCACCTAATTTGTCAAATTTTACCGGGATAACTGCACTTTAAAAATGAGCGTAAAAAGGGAAAAAATAAATATATAATTCCTTGGAGCGAGTTCCCGAATACCGAGGAAGAAATTCCTTCTCAACAGTGAATATAAAAGTTTTGCAGACTTATTGTGAGCGTATTATTAGACCTTGTTATAATTACATTTTCGTATCTAAGTTTAATAATTGATTTTTATCACAACGTTATGTTCGACTATCAATATCAACGAAATTGGATGTAAATAGTTTAGTCCATTAGTTTTGAAGTAGCTCTACCCGTTTTCATATAATATAGTGTAGGAGTAGAAATACAGTTACGATAGCTTGAAATACGTACAATACGTTAAAATATGTAATATACGTTAAAATATGTAAAATACGTTAACATATGTAATACTAATATACGTTAAAATACATATCATTCTCGGTCCAAAAATACATACCGGATTATAATCTAATGTGATAGATGATAAATTGACTGCAACTTTGTGAAAACAAACCGTCTGCATTATACAAGTTCAAGTTAAGTTGGTGGTCTTAAATGATCAAATTCGCTGCATTTAACATCATGTTTAAGTTCTAAGGGCTGATAGTGATAAAGAAAAGAAATAAGCTCAAGTGGTCTGATTACAAATTGACTTCAACTTCGTCGAAACAAACTTTCTGCAGAATACAGGTTAAAATAAAAACGTTAGTGGTCTTAGATGATCAAATTCTCTGCATTTGACACCAAGTTTAAGTTCTAAGGGCTGATAAAAAACTAGAGATAAGCCCAAGTAGTTGGATTGCTACTCATAAATAATCAAATGAACGCTGGACGGTATAACTAAAAGATATCTTGAGCTTCTTCGTAAATTAGCGTGCACAATTATTAATTAATTCTATTCAGTCTGGTCATCTAAAAACGCCAGCTAGATTATAATATAAATCTTTGCAAACCAAGCGGACAGCTCGCCCGCTATTGCAGATACACATATAATCTACAGTTATGAGATTACATATATATATTACATATATATATACACATATTATAATCTATAGTTAACAGTTATGAGATTATTACACGCCATCATATTTTTACTTCCTCTTAATACATTAATACATTTTTTGTGAAACTTGGTTTCGAGATAGCAGTTGACCAACAAACTAGGAACTTTTGAGGGGGTCCCGGACCCCAACCGCCAAACGGTACCCGTGGGAAGGCCACGCCCATATTTGCTCCAAATTAGGCCCAATTTAGCCTAATACCCTGAACATGCCCAAAACCCAGGTTTTAGGTGCTCTACTTGTAGCTAGTGGTCCCCTGAACTCGTAAATGAATTTTCATCAAGATTGGACAAACAATGACTGAGTTATGAGCTAAAACCTATATGCCCATATTTGAAAATCGTTTATTCATACCTTTGGGAAGGTCTGTGCAAAGTTTCGTGAGTATCTGAAAATTTGCAGGTACACCGTTCATTTCCATAAATGTCCATAAATGACTGGACTACTAAGTCTTAGGGTTATAAATAGCACATAGTCGGAGTTTGGTACTTGCAGAGAGGCAGACTACTACAAGCCTATTTCAAAGCTAAAATATTCCGAGTCTTATGTGAACAATTTCTGAACATGAGTTGGGCGTGTGAGAATTTATTCTTAAATACAGTGTATTACCGGGGTGGGGAGGAGGAGGGGGGTACACATATAGGTGTTATATTAATGCAATTAATAAACTAATTGAGTGACACCGGGTCATTCTGAAATGGAACGTAATGATATTTTCATAAGACTAAATTGCAGCCTGTCTGACCCTTTCAATCGGCCTGACAGTTTCACCATTATATATCGTCAAGATGCACCTGGTACGTGTGTATGCTCAATACTGTACCATTGATTGGATTGCCGTCTTTGTGAGTTTACCAAAATCTGTATAAAATATTCTAGCTACCTTGCCGACCATAATGGTGACAATATCATCCGTTGCAATCCATCAAAGGTGTTAAAACGATCGGCGACTACTATAATATTCTGTGATAGCACTAAAAGGCCCTCTCTTTTAATTGGAGGTAATGGCTCTCTAAGACTATCCACGCTCATTACGACCCACCAGAGAACTGTTACCCCAGTAGTAGCACTGTTACCCTAGTAGCAGAGTTGAACACTAAAGAGCACTATCAGTCCAGTAGCAAAGTTGAAAATTATAAACTTAAAGCACTTTCTGGTCAACCGTAACAAAAATAGACCGTTAAATTGTACCAAAAAAGGAATTCTGAGTGGAACGTTCATTCTTAACGTTCACATGGTACCTGACAGAACACTCGGAGAAAGATAAAAACGGGCATGACTCATTACAGAGCTGTCACCTGAATTGAGAAATCTATCGAAATTAGAGAAGAAAAAAACGAGTGAGAGTATTAAAACTAATATAAAATCCGAGAGCTAACAACGAAATGATGCCGAAGAATATATGTTCGTCATCCTGCAGTATGAAGAAAATAGAATTGGTGACAAATTAATTTTATTTACATGTAGATATATTCTCCAGCGCCCGTTGTTTTCCGGTATTTTTTGGCGCGAACTTCAACTTTGATGTGAAATACGTACATAATTCCGCTTTGTCCGTGTAATATGTTGTCGTTTCAGAAGAGTTTATACTATTAAGTCAGGGATCTAATACCTTCATACATATAATAAACAGATAGCTAATAATAAAATTATACTTTATTGGCCACCTTTATAGTTTTATGCTTTATAAATGGGTAAGTTAGTGTTATATTCTTAGAATGGTTAAAAGGCTCCCCTTCCATTTAAAAAGCACACATAATGGGATATAGACTATTCGTGTTATTATGCTCTTGGCAACTCCTAAACGTGCATTATTAGTGACCCAGACACGGTTATTATAACCGGATAGAAGGATCATTTGTTCTCGATGCAGACCCTTTCAATCTAAATGATCTATTTACCACATACCAGAATGCTGGGGTTTGAGGTCTCGAGACGAAGATATTTTGGAAATAAAGGAAATCAAACACAAATGTAAAGAGTTGTAAGTTTTAGTTTTCTATCACCAAAACAGGGTAGTGTGACAGAGAATAACAGGTGAATATAACAACACGGGCTTGTTTTAACCACTAACTTAGTACTTGGTAGTAGGCCCTATAAGGTCCATGTGCTCGCTTCAAGTCCATATTGTGCTTGCTTCAAGTCCCAACTCCTCGTGCCTCATGGGTTGAGGTAAACGACATAATATTCAATTAAATGTCTGACTTATATATTATAGTTGCTCTCCGGGCCGTATCTCTATCATAATGACACTATTCTTATCAGGCCTCTCCTTTAGTCAGGTGACACGTGCTATATCATAAAATACAGAACCTTTAGTCCAATGTAACTGGGCTTATTATGTTATCTAAAACGTGATCACTGATCAGGCGACAGGGATCCAGAGATCACCTTCAATGCTTATATGATATTACGCATATTGAGATAAATGCACGACCTCTGCAGCCTTACTCTAAAGTTTATATAAATCACTCAGAGAGCCTCACCGGTATGCACCCAGTTCAGTCCAATAGTGGTTAAAACTGAGTCCTTATTTTCCTATACCACGCATTATACTGGATATATTAAAAATGTAGTACAGCGAAAAGCAAAAACTTCAATGGATGGTTACCGTAATTGCGGGTGCCACATGCCTAGCATGAGCATGAAATATTTACCTACTTACTTGCACTTGTGTAGGTCTGTAGAAACATTAGTATCGGGCGTTGCCTGCTACAGGCTATCCCGAAACTATAGGCTTGCCTTAAGGGGAGATACACCAAAACCGTTTTTGCTCCGAACATCGATTTTATTTTATATTATTTTTAAATAGACAAAAAGAATAAGATTGTACACCTTCAAAAATTTTTAAAAATATTCCCTCATCGAGAAAAAAAAATATTTTTCTTTTTCGAAAATTTTTAAAATTTGGAGAAGTCTGTCACTGTAATACCGATAGTTCGGCCATTTAAAAAGTTTTTTGGCTGATTTTTTTACTGAACATTACTTACACTCCGTACTAGAAGCCATTGAAAGGATTATATAATTGAACAATAAATGACCAAGTTACAGACCGAACAAGGTGAAAAAAGAAAAATTGGGATTTTTGCCTACCACCAAAGTTGTACATTTCACCACCCGCCCAGGTCATCAGATATCGCTTCAAAATTTCTTGTGAGTGTAATTGATGATCATGGCAAGCTTTTTGGAACCGGATTTCTCTCAATTTTGAGTTTTAAGCTATGCAATGTGGCCTCAAACGACTTAGTAAAATTCATCGTAAAAAAGGGCAAAAAAGGCAGATTTAAGGCTTAAAATGCCTATAACTCAAAAAGTATCAGTTTTTTTGAAATAATTTTTACAGGATCGTAATCAGCTTGGTAAGACGAATATTTTAGTACCAAATAGGTGCTTTTTGAAGACAAATTGTCTTAAATAATTTTCTAGCTCGAACACAATGGTCCCTTGTATAAATTTTGTACAAATTGTACACATTTTTTTACAAATTTTGTGGCTTTGAATATTATAAATGTC